AAATCCAGTCCCTATATATTCCCTTTTTCATGGAGAAAGTCAAAATAATGTTGTCTTCAGAGTGTACAAGTTGCAATACTTCATGCTGTAAATCACTGATGGTTTCTGCAAGACTAATTTCTCTTTCCTTCAACTTAGCTATCTCTTGTTGACATCCAATTGATAGAGGGAATATTGAACTATGGGTTTGTGTGGCAAAGGGTGAGAAGCCTTCTGCTGAAATCTGCAACTGTCTGTAGCCCAAAGAGGATGTTTTGGTTGAAAGTAGATTAGCTTTTAACCCTGTCCATTCAGAAGATTTGTGGATGATGATATATACTCTCCATCATTGTTGGGAGCTTAAAACCAAAGGTGCAAGTTTTTATAGTCTTACCCTAAATTTTTTGATTCGGTGCAAAAATTGGGAAACCTAGGTGCCTTGAAATTATTGACAAACATTGGACTTTTGCCCATAAGATTAAGTCTAATTTGTTGCCCTAGGATACCTTACTGTTCTTCTACTCAATTCTGATTTAAGTGCTACCTTATACCCATCTCCTATTTCAGCTAGCATTGGCAGCATGGAATCACTGGAAACCCCATATGTCCCCATTTATGTAACATCTGCATGCTAGTGTGGCTGCAGTGTGCAACTCTGGCGAAGCCGTGCTGCACGTGGCATAGAGATTAGTGGGAATCAGAACCTTTTCAACTTGGCAATCATTGGAATATGTGCATGAAAGTAAACTGCACTGTATTCAGTGGGGTGTTCCTCCTGATGAATGCATATAAACTTGCAGTTGAAGCTTTATATATACTATGCGACGTGTGATCATGGATTGATGGTTTCTGGCCGCCTAGATATAGCACCGACTTGTTAGATTAACCTATGGATTTTAAGTCCCTGTACAGTAGCTACTATAGCACAACTTCTATACAGTATTATGTAAATGGACTCTACAATACTGATGAAAATTTTCTTTTGATAAGAGGTTGATATTTCCATGTGATTGAACGTGGAGCAGTTGGTTGCTGCAAATGTATTCACTACACCCCCCTGTAACAGTTGTGTCAGTACCAAAAATAGAAGAACAGGGACTATTTTGAGAGTGTTGTTTCCTAATGGAGAGAGACAAGGAAAGAGATCACCGAAGTGTGGCTATCTTGTTCCTTCTTTTCTTTTCCCTTTTTAGCCATGCTTGCTTCAGTAATTTTAAGAAACAAATGAAATAATTGGTATATCGCTGCTGGGTCGATATTTGTAGAACATTAGAAATAAGCCTTGTAATAAATATGTCATTTTATATTTGCATTGTTCCTTTAAAGAAAAGTAGACTTAGTTGGGCATGGACGAATGTGCTACTCCTGTGAGGGCTGCCATCTTTAATAGTTGAATAATGAATGGGCTGAATTCCAGAACAGACATATCTGGATGCTTTCTTACATGTAGCCTTGCTTTCATCAAGCAAGAATCCTCTCTATGGTCACGTTCCATTATATTGTTATTATTGTTAATTTCATTTTAAGATTCAAGCAATTATTTTATTACCAAAGAGAAGCTATCAGAAATGTCATAGGTGTTCAGGGACACTTGTTTTTTCAAACAGTCAATTCAGTATTAATTTGTATTTTGGTTGTGGATTGTCATGGTATTTTGCAGAGTCATACAATAAAAGAAAAGGACAGATTCCTTTTCCAAGGAATGGAGTCTTTAGTCAAGGTTTAGAAAAAGGGAACTACAGGTGAATATAATCTAAACTTTGCTGATATCGTTGTTTGAAATATGGTTATAAAAAGCAAGTTGTCACTGTGATACTAAAAAAAAATAGGTGCAGGCATCAGAAGGAGATGAAATAGGATGTCTTGAGGTCAAGGGAACTTGTATTCCTGAATGAACATATACTCTGAATTACTGTTATAAACAAATTAGTTTCTGTACTAAGTTTGCATGTCATATCCTGATTCAACATACACACATGCACAGTTGATCATTTGACCTGGCTGATAACATTGTTTTTGTTGTTAAAGGATGAAATAGGAGTTCCATTTTGCTCTGCTGAAGTGTTTTGGCTTTTCCTGCAGAAATGGTATCATAACTTAAGCTGTATTTCCCAACGTGGCATCCTCCAGATGTGGATTTAAAATTCCACAATTTCCAGCCCTTCTGGAAGCCCATCCTTATCTGGAGAATACCTGGTTCGGGAAGTTTGGTGCAGGCCATCTTAAGAACAAACCCCAAACTATAAATATTTGGGAATAATTTGGAGGGATAATAAAGGCCTCCTAACTATTAAATTTAGTATCTAAAAGTATTTAAAGTGTTCCTGCAGTAATCCTTATTTTCTTCCTTCCTCTAGCATTTCCATGGTTTGGCATGGATATTGGTGGGACCCTTGTTAAACTGGTCTACTTTGAACCAAAAGACATCACGGCTGAAGAAGAGCAGGAAGAAGTGGAAAACCTGAAAAGCATTAGGAAATATCTGACTTCCAACACAGCCTATGGTAAAACAGGGATCCGAGATGTCCACCTTGAACTGAAAAACTTGACTATGTGTGGACGTAAAGGGAATCTCCATTTCATCCGTTTCCCAAGCTGTGCTATGCACAGGTTCATACAGATGGGGAGTGAAAAAAACTTTTCAAGCTTGCATACCACACTTTGTGCTACTGGAGGTGGAGCTTATAAGTTTGAGGAAGATTTCCTAATGGTACGTGAATTTACTTTCTTTCTTGGTTCAGGAGCATTTCTACTCTCTGTGGTAATACTGCCAAATGACAGGGGAGTCATCTTTATTTTTGTCACCTGAAACCAGTAAACCTCCTCTTTAGCTTAAATACATTAATTAAGAGGAGCATTTTACTGCCCTCTTTCTTTTGTAGTGACTGGCATTGATGCTGTAAGTATGTGCTTTTCTCACAGACTTCACACATCTAGACAGCACTGGGGCGGGGGGGGGTGCTATTTTGTCACATCAGCATTTGTGCTATGCTGAGACTTTGTTTTTTGTATTTTATTTGCATTGGAATTGTGATAAACCCTTGATACCACAACTTTGTCCATCTAAACTACATAGCTACCAGCCTTGTAATGCTGTTTTCCAGCAGGCTAAGCCTCTTTATTTGCAGCCCCAAAAGCAAAATTGCAAAACTTGTCATCTGAATGGTGGGCTGCTTTCAGCTTGATGATTCAGAAAACATTCAGGGTGAGCCTACAAACCTGAACTACATTTTAAGACCATAGCTTTTGGTTTCTTTTCTTTTAGAGTTGGTTAGGTGGCTGTACTTCTGCTTCCAGAAACTGAGCCTTATTAACCTCAGCGTTAAATGATTTGTGGTGTCTGTGCATCTAGAAGATGACAGTTTTTGTTGCTTTCCCCTAAATAAAAGAAAATATAATTCCCTTCATGGGTGCAAGGGTAAATATTGCTTTTAAGAAAAGTGATTGTATTTGGGTATTTCTTATATATGCTTTGAAGCCTTTAGTAGGAAGTCCAAACAGTGCTGCTTAACTCCAGCTCCTAACATTCTTCACCACTGACCAACATCTCCCTTTTCTCCTTCTGTCTTTTCATTATTGCCAAAAGTTTAGATTGTAGGTTCCTTGAAGCAGGAATGAAAAGTTATGGTGAGAACTCAACAGTTGTGTGCCTTTTATTGAGCATGCTAACAGCTTACAGTATTCAGTATGTTTCTCATACTGGCTGTTAGCCTGAGGCATAAGGTGAGGTGAGTCAGATAAGGTGAGACTTGCTGTGTATCTCTTTATGGGGGTGTGTAGTGTGCTACTGGAGATTAACACAAGCGCACACACCTTTTTTCCCCCCAGGTTGCTGTGTTTCATGCTTCCAAAGGCATCCACAGGCACCTTTGTTTGAAATGGAATAACTTAAACCTATCCACATTTTTTAGCCTTTATTAATCATCCACAAAACCCTAGCCATAGGTTTCAAATACACGTCATTCATTACGGGTAACGAATAGAGCGCTCAACAGCAGGGGTGGCAATAGAGCTGTGTCACTGAAGCAGCCCGTGTGCAGAGTTTTTGATCTTAGTGCTGATTCAATGATGCATTGTTGGTGTATTATACATGTAATTTATATAAGATGTAGGGGGTGAGAAAAGAGCACGGGAATCTGAAAGCAGGCCAATTGTGCATCTTCCTATTTTGTTTATTAGTTTAACTGATTTTGAAGTATAACCTTCATCTAGTCTTAATATTCCAACCAAGACTGGTAAGCCCTTCTGCTGCTCAGTATGACTTACTGTATTTTTCCATGAATAAGACGCCCCCAGGTATAAGA